GGAACGTCAAGAACAAGAGGTCATAGATTTAAACTAACGAAACAAAGCTGCCCGAGAAATATACGAAAATTCACTTTTGTAAACAGAGTGGTAGACGGTTGGAACAAGTTAAGTGAGAGGGTAGTGGAGGCCAAAACCATCAGTAATTTCAAAGCATTATATGACAAAGAGTGCTGGGGAGACGGGACACCACGAGTGTAGCTCTCATCCTGAAACTACACTTAGGTAATTACAGTACTTCTATAAAACGAAAACAAAAATTGAATTTTTTTATTTCGTGCGCCTGGCGATGTTGAAGACTGTTAAGCCAGGAGCCTCCCAAGGTTAATACTTGCCTGTTCACCCCCGTGATCCCTTGCAATGCTTGTGAGATGAAACTCCATAGTAAGGTGCCCTCATTGTTGTCGTCATTTGTGGCATATGTGCTTCAGGCCCATCAACACTTGAGTGCTGTCGTGTGCTTTCTGTGGGGAGCCCCTATGGCTCTCTGGAGCTTATCGGGCTAATGTATGTTTTATTACACTAGGACATTAGCTATGGAGTTCAGACGTACCAAGGACCAGTGCCAGAACCTGGCCTCTTCAGAGAGGTTATCTTGAGGTTATCTTGAGATGATTTCGGGGCTTTTTTTAGTGTCCCCGCGGCCCGGTCCTCGACCAGGCCTCCACCCCAGGAAGCAACCCGTGACAGCTGACTAACACCCAGGTACCTATTTTACTGCTAGGTAACAGGGGCATAGGGTGAAAGAAACTCTGCCCAATGTTTCTCGCCGGCGCCTGGGATCGAACCCAGGACCACAGGATTACAAGTCCAGCGTGCTGTCCGCTCGGCCGACCGGCTCCCAGAGGTTTCAGGGAGCAATGGCCCTGGAAAACCCCTTTGTGGATGGGGTTTTTCCTTCAACCACAACTCCCTACAATCTCAAGGAAACGAGCAAACAAGCAAACATCTCACTTTACTGCCGCGCCGTTCGTCTGCGTAGCCCTCCTCGCCACTAAAGGGGAAGGGGGCCCCCCGGACCTCACCGCGCCGGCTGCCTAGCACCAGTTTGTAAGCTAATGTCAGCCAAGAGACGCTTCTCTGGCCTCAGTTTCCTAGGCGGTGTTTGCCTTCATGGCGCTCACTGCTGTGATTTTGCTGTATTTGCACTGCTGTATAAATATCTACCTGTTTTATTCACCATACTTGTACAAATAAACTGGTATGGTGCCCAAAGACCATCGTGGTCACCGGTAAACAACATGATAAGTCGTGCAGACAACGCCATCGCCCTCACCAAAATGGCAGCTCCCAACCTATTCCTCTTGCTGTTTATACCCTCTATACACACGTTATATATAAGTATCTACATTTGTGTTCACCATAGCGAACCACTAAGCTGGTATGGTGAGTGCAGTCAATAAAAGGTGGCCACACACAGTCAGAAGACAACTCCACCACCCTCCATCCCACAGCATTACTCCTCCCTCCATAGAGGCTAAATATCACCAAAATCCTGCTATTATCAGAACCCTGGTCAGTTTTATCACATTCAGGGGTCTTCTGTAATAATATCATCGCTACATAATAGCATGAACAAGTATATTATGACATTTTTAGACGATGCTGTGGGCAAGCTGAACAGCAGTGCTGTGAGCTAATGCTGTGTGCATCAGGCTTGGTAGCTCACTCAATACTGAGGCCCCTAACACCCGGGAATTTGGCCCACGATTTTTACCAAAAATGGCGTCTGTTTACAAGAGCCCTGATGAAGGTGTGGTGAACCCTGTGTATCCGCGGGCCGTTTAAATCTTGCATGAAACTCCAAAGCATCATATGATGCGATGCGCAATTTAAGGGTTAAACATCATGTTATTTTCTGATACCCAGTCGAAAACTTTGTTAATATCAGCTTGAAGTTTTTCAATGTCTTCAGCCGAGATAATTTTCATACTGATTTTTGTGTCATCTGCAAAGGATGATATGACTTGTATTTTTGTCTATATCTGATATGAAAATAAAGAAAGGCAGCAGTGCAAGGACTGTACTCTGAGGTTCAGAGCTTTTAACTGTGCTTGGACTAGATTTTATATGGTTGACTGTTACTCGCTGAGTCCTGTTTAACAGAAAACTGAGTATCCAGCATCTTACTCTACCGGTTATTCCCATTGACTTCATTTTGTGTGCTATCACGCCATGGTCACATTTATCGAAAGCCTTTGCGAAGTCCGTGTATATCACATCAGCATTCTGTTTTTCTTCTAATGCTTCAGTGACTTTGTCGTAGTGATCAAGTAGGTGTGAGAGGCACGATCTTCCCGCTCGAAATCCTCGTTGGCATGGGTTGTGAAGGTCATTGATCTCCATGTAATTGGTGACCTGACTCCTAACCACTCTCTCTCAAATACTTTTATTATGTGCGACGTTAGTGCAACTGGTGTATAATTTTTTGCCAATGCTTTGCTCCCTCCCTTGTGTAGAGGGGCAATGTCTGCTCCTTTAAGTGCACCTGGTATCTCCCCCGTGTCCAAGCTCTTCCTCCACACTATACTGAGTGCCTGTGTTACCGGCGTTTTTCATTTCTTTATAAATATTGAATTCCATGAATCTGGACCCGGGGCCGAGTGCATGGGCATGTTTTCAATTTCTCTTTCAAAGTCTAGTACGCTCGTGTTGATATCAGTTATATTTACAGGGGTTTGGATATCCCACATAAAAAAATTGTCTGGATCTTCCACTTTCTTGTTGTTAATTGGAGTGCTAAACATGTCCCTATACTGCTTTTTTGGATTTCACTAATTTCTTTGTCATCCTCCGTGTATGAACCTTCACTTGTACGAATAGGTCCAATACTGGCAGTGGTTTTTGCTTTTGATTTTGCATATGTGAAGAAGTATTTTGGATTTTTCTTTATTTCCTGAATTGCTTTCTGATCTAACTGCCTTTCTTCAGTTTAATATGAGTGTTTTAATTTCCGCTCCATTTCTTCAATCTCCCTATTTAAATTATTCCTTCTTTGACAGGAAATTCGTGTCTTCATAAGCATTTCCGTTATTTTTTTCCTTCTTATATAGTGTCATCTGCGTTCTCTTTCTACGTTGGATCTCTTTCTGGCTTTCCTCAAAGGAACATATTTCAGACAGACTTGATACGCTTCCGGAGTCAGTTTTCTATTCCTTCTGTAGGACTTGCATTACTTAGAACAGTTTCCCATTTTCCCTCTATTTTGTCTAGTTTTCTAATATTTTTGTTTTTCTTCATCGGCTCGTGACTTCTCGCGACCCACATCTGGCATCCCTGCCTGCGTAGGCGCCGTAGTTGTTTATTTTGATGTGGAGGGTGCGCACGTGTGCTGGTGTTCTGTGTCCTTTTCTCTCGGGTGCTTCCTCTCTCGCTCCTCTCAATTCTCCAGTCCGTGCCCAGTTGCTACTGGGGGTGTTCTGGTTTGCCGCTCTGGGTAGAATGCAGGGTTTTCCCTGCGTATGGATGTCGGGTTCCTCCTTTGCCTCTCCCCTACTCTTCTCCTGCATGTGCGGCTTTGTCTTCTTTCACTGGCGGTGCTCCCAACATCTTCTCGGCTACGTTGTGTCGTGACACGTTCGTGCCTACGTTCTGCAGGTGAATTTCTGCAGTCTGGCATCTCTTTTTGGCCAGGCATTGGTTCGTGTTTTTTGGCTACGGATATATGAACATGGGAACACTGGTGACTGCAGCAGGCCTCTTGGGCCTTATGAGGCAGCTCCCATTTGTACCCATCCAGTCCCACTCTTATGCATGTACAGCCCATGCTTGAGTCCGGCACGGGGCCCCACTTCCACCAGGTTTCAAGATACGATGGTGGGGGTATATGTTATGAGGTACATATTTTTGTGTCAGGATGTTATAAGGTGACATTTTACTGCAGTTTTTCTTACTGTGGTTGCGTGTTGGGGATTGGTTGTGGAGTTTTGTTTGGCTCGTCTTGCAGTGTCTGGCTTAGCCTTTTCCGTATACAGTGGTTTCTCTGTGCTTTCCTAGTTGTGTTTGCGGGTGTTGAGCTTTGGCTTTTTGGTCCCGCTTCTCACCTGTCATTCGCTGATGACCGGGCTTTGGTGGGTATGTAGGCCTGCGGGTTGCTCCAAGCAACAGCCAGATGGACCAGGCTGTTGCCTGGTCCACCAGGAAGAAAACCAACGTTGAATGTAATGAAACACCATTTTCTGGGCAAGACTCGGAGGCTCCCCGGCATCCCTTCCTTCCTCCGGTCAGCGGTTTTTTGCGTAATTTGACATCCAGCCTCAGAACTAACAAGTGGATAGCCGGTGCAGGGGTTTGGGGCTCACCCTTCCCCCTCCCGGGGGAGGGGGGGGAGCTGCGCAGACAGTGGCACAGCGACATGTGATGTCATGCTCATTTGCTTGTTTCGTTTAGGGGGGAGTTCTGTCCACTTGTTCGGCTTTTTGGTAGCAAAATTTTCACCAGAATAGAGGTTTGTTTTGGGATGCTTTTCTTTCTGGGTGCCTGACCTGGTCGATGGCAGACACACAATGCTTCCAACCACACGGGGGTTTCTATAAGCCATTGCTCCCCATGCCTCTCTGAGGGGGGCCAGGTTCTGGCTCGTGGTCCCCGGTAGGCCCACAGAACTCCATACACATGACTGAGGCCAAAGTCTGACATTAGCATATCAGCCTAGTAAGCTCCGGGGAGCCTCCAGGTCTCACCCAGAAAATGGCGTTTCATTACATTCAGTGCTGTTTTTTTTTTTTTAAGTAATATAGCTTGTTATTTATTGTGTGCATCTTTGATAATTTCAGGGGAAACCATTCAAGCTAGAGGTAGTTGCCTGAAACGCTATGCGTACTAGTGGCTTTAGGTATTGTATGTACTACCTCTATCTTTAAATCTAACAGTATGTTTGTACTGTATCGCTGCAACTATGTATGTACTGTTCCTAAATATATTATTATTTATTATTATTATTATTATTATTATTATTATTTTTATTATAGTGTCTAAAGTTCTTGTTATCCTCCATACAGGTGTCTGTGTGAGCTAGCTAAACAAATAGGTTTTAGTGAACAAGCTCAGGAACCTTTTGAGCTAGAGCATCAGCTGTCAACATTCAGGCATGTGGTAAGCTCATTATAACTTTTTCTGAAATGTATCTCATTGATAATATTTTGTCTTAACAAAATGGCTTTAAAATACAGAAGAGAGTTGTTGAAATAAGTTATTATTATATTTTCAAGCAATACTGTGATGGTACTTGTTTAGCCACCAGACATGGCGTGTAAAGATCGTTTGGCCAGGTCCCTGATGATCACCAAACTCAAGTTTCCCTTCCCCCACATGGTGTCAGTACTTGTGCGGGATCGTGCTTCACGTAAACTGGAATTAATGTCACAGGTAAATATAAAACTATTCGGTATCATTTTCATTAAAGATTAATAGTACTTTGACATTATACATGTTCTGTTAATTTCTGGGAGGTGTCTCCTTATAGTTCCCTGAAGCTACCACCTCTGATAGAGTGCAATACCACGGGGTTCTGTTGGCCTACTAGGAATCATGAGCCAGATCTGACCCCCTCCGAAGAGATGCAGAGAGTGGTGGCACTTATGGTAAAATTACCATAAATTTGTTTGCCCAAAATGCTGTGCGTATTAGTGGCTTTAGGCCACTAATACAATAATTTATTTACTATCTCTATTTAAAAATCCAACATTCTGCTTGTAACTCAGTATGTATGTACTTTTATCTAAATAAACAATTTATTATTTATTTATTTATTTATTTATTTATTTATTTATTTATTTATTTACTATGAATTTATTGATGTCTGCCACCAATGGGGAGAACTCAGAGCTTTAATGAAACCAAACAGACCATTGTTAGTTATAAACTAAACTGCAGCTTCAAGAACTGCCAAAAGAACCAAAAGAACAATGTAAACAATAAAAAATTCATGGAACTAGTGCTAGCTCATTCACACCACTTCCCCATCATTTGGCAGGAGGGAGGCAGTCCGGGGTCAGCAAACTTCTCCACTTTCAGTTCTATTCTGATGGTAGTGAGTGTTGAGGTATACTCTCTCTTGCTCTGGCTCCAATGTCCTGTTTTTTCAGCTGATTGGTGTTTTGCTTTAGTGGCTGTTCCTCTATACTTCAGTGCAGTGTAAGGAAGGAGTTAGGAGTGCTTGGAGCTGTATGTGCATAGGGTTATTTTTCCTATGTTGTTCCTAGTGCTGCTCTTGCACTGCCAGGGTTGTCTTCCCTACAGTGTTCGAAGATCGCTCCCTTAGAGATCCCTCCTCGCTTGTAGTGGCCCTCACCCTAGGTAAATCAGTTGTCTTTGATTTTCTGTCTTCCCTGGGTCAGGAGTGATTATAGCTAGTGGGATGCTCTTGGGTTCGAACGACCTTACTGGCATGCTGTGGTCTGCATTTGCAGCCGTGTGATTGGATTGTGTTGGCTTACATTTCTCTCCTTCCTCCTATTCTTGGGAAGCCAATACAGTTATATAAGTGGAAACCAGTGCAGCATTCCCAGTGTCTGGGCATTCCTGCAGGCTCTGAAAAACACCAGCAGGTTAGATGGTTCTGGGGGTATTCCCTCAGAACCTGCTGTCACTGCATGTCATTTTGCAGGATGCTTGTCGTCCATGCCATGTGGCAATGTTTGGTTTGTCTGCCTCTGTGTACTGCTTGTTGGGTCAGTGACATCTTCAACCTTGAGTCATATTGGCCTTGCCTCCATCATGTTACTCTTTTTGGCCCTCCTAGTATGGTTCGGACATTTTGGACAACAACCACTTTGGTGTCCAGAAAGATCTCCTGCCCCTTGTAGAATGTAGCCTCGCTAGAACTCATATCAACAACTGGACAGGAGGAAAGAAGTACAGAAACGCCCCCACCTCGACCAGTCCTGCCAAAAGGCGTCCACCGCAATGGGCCCCCACAGTCGGGGAATGGTGCCACAAAATTGTGAAGATGCCGAGACCAAGGTGACATGAAGAGGTCCATGTCCGAGCACCCGAATGTCTCACAAACAGTGAGAGGAAGGAGGCGTAGTCGATAGTTCACTCCGTAGAGATCAGTTAGAACTGAGAGAGACCATTGGCAAGGATGGGATGTTGGACTTTCCCTGGACATTGATGGCCCAGAGAGACAAACCCTGAGAACCCAGAAAAAAGAGCTACCTGCAGCATCCAGCTTTAAATACACAAAGACTGAAGGGAGCCCCCTCGATTGAGACAGTGAATCCCGATTAATTGAATGGAGAAAAACAAGGGAACCCAGAGTCTGAATCCTTTGCAGTACATGTCACATTGAGTACCCAAATGAGCCACAGAGACCTTAGAAAGAACTTTTTCAGTGTCAGAGTAGTTAATAAATGAAATGCATTAGAAAGTGTTGTGGTGGAGACAGATTCTATACACAGTATCATTGTAGATATGATAGAGCTCAATAAGCTCAGGAACCTGTACACGTATAAATTATGTGAGAAATCTTTAAAGAATTCTGATAAAGAAAGAGATCTAGGGGTGGTTCTAAATAGAAAACTGTCACCTGGGGGCCACATAAAGAACGTTGTGCGAGGAGCCTATGCTACGCTTTCTAACTTCAGAATTGCTTTTAAATACATGGATGGCAAAATACTAAAGAAATTGTTCACGACTTTTGTTAGGCCAAAGCTAGAATATGCAGTGGTTGTGTGGTGCCCATATCTTAAGAAGCACATCAACAAACTAGAAAAGGTGCAAAGACATGCTACTTAGTGGCTTCCAGAACTGAAGGGCAAGAGCTATGAGGAAAGATTAGAGGGATTAAGTATGCCAAAACTAGAAGACAGAAGAAAAAGAGGTGATATGATCACTACTTACAAAATAGTAACAGGAATTGACAAAATTTATAGGGAAGATTTCCTGAGACCTGGAACTTCAAGAACAAGAGGTCATAGATTTAAACTAACTACACAAAGATGCCGAAGAAATATAAGAAAATTCACTTTCGCAAACAGAGTGGTAGACGGTTGGAACAAGTTGAGTGAGAAGGTGGTGGAGGCCAAAACTGTCAGTAGTTTCAAAGCGCTATATGACAAAGAGTGCTGGGAAGACGGGACACCACGAGCGTAATTCTAATCCTGTAATTACACTTAGGTAATTACCAGTAGATTGATAGTTGCGAGGAGGGACCAAAGACCGAAGTCTAAGCTCAGCCCCTGCAAGGACAACTAGGTGAGTACAGCTGTAAACTCCTGCACAGTGCTGTGCACCTTATGAAGAGGAAAGAGACAAATGATCCTGACCAGCCCGATGATCACTGGCATAAAACCCCAGCCATGAACTGTGGCATTCACAAAAATATCGTGGACCGGAGGTGAAAGGCGCCAGGGAACCAAACTTCGAAAAGCCTGAAAAGGAAACCGGTGATGCAGCAGTAGATGAAGGGCAAGCAGGTTCCAGACCCAGCTGTATGTTCCGCTTTTGAGAGCGGCGGAAGGGAGAGCCCCAGAGTAACCAATAAAGCCTCTGAAACCATACCCTGCCCAAACCTAGTTAACAAGGGACTTGTATAGTAGTTATCCATGAATAAAATGTGGCCCTTGTCCATCCATGGTGCCATCAGTGACTTCACCACACTACCTGAGAAACCATGTTGGTCGTTACTGGAAATGTCTACAATGGTAGCAGAATAGGGAATCATGTGTAACATGTATCCTGTTTCACAATCACAAAGAACAAAGAATTTCAATCCAAATCTGTTGTGTTTGGAGGGAATATACTGCTGTAAAAGAGACAAATGTATGTGAATGCATGTGTGTGTATATATATGCATGTATATATGTATATGTACGTATATATATGTGTGTGTATGTATATGTATGTGTATAAAGTACATATGGAAGCTGATCAGAATTGCATTTCACCTTTGTAAATGCACATTAATGACACTTCGAACACTTTATGTAGGGCATACGTAAATCTATGTATTTACGTATGTAGGTTAGCTTAGCATTTTAAAAGTACCGAATCACCTTCTGTGGTTGATTGTTCAATAAATCCCTGAACTATATGTTTAACTGATCTCTAACCCTGTCTATGGAGGACAGAAGAAAATGTATATATGCTGGTTAGCATTGTAAATGTGTGGCCACATTTGTGGTAGAAAAAAAAAAACTGCTTGAAGGCAAAACGTCCTTTGAAAAGTACAAGGGATTTGTCAATCACCAGCTTCTGTGCTGGTGCGTAGAAATCTCTGTACTTTCCAATCACTTCTTTCATAATGTGCCAGACTCTCCAAAGTCTATCATCCTCTGTCCGGTCCTCATTACTTGTAAAATGAAGACACCTGAGGAGTATCTGAAACCTGTCTCGGGACATATATTTCCTGAACAAAGGTGTTGGAACAGTCTTGTCTTTGCTCCAATTATATGTGACAGCATGTTTGACACAATGCTTCATTAACATACATAGTGCCAAAAATACATACATTTCACCTATAGTAGTGTTTTTCCAATGCTGCAATCATGAATATTCTGTTAACTCTTTTCCAGTAAGATGAGCCACATGAAGGTTTGTTTGGTGTACAATATATATTCCATGAACAGCTCATCATAAAATGCTGTAAAATAATTCATTTCACACATGTCCTCACCATTATCCGGGAAAAAGTCTGTAATCCCAACGTCTTTATTGTCAAAGGCAGGAATTAGAGGAATAAAATAATCACCATCACTCCACACAAGTACACCTGGTGTCCTGCGAGACACAACAGCGACACGACACTGTCACGGTGCTACGTGAACGCGAGGTGAAATCACATGAACATGAGGGTCTTGGTTCCTCATTTGGTGCCATGTGGCGGTGCTTGGCTGGGCGAGACACTGCTGATGCGACAAAATCTCGCTTGGTAACACCACTGGCACTAGCGACAGACATGGTAACACTATGCTTTGAATTCACTTCACTAAAACCAGAAAAAGAGTCACCTTCCTCTGACTCATTGCCCAAAATATCCTCATACTCTTAAATAAGTACTAGAACTGTGTGGTCGTTGGTGGATTGGAGTAGACACTGGGCGAGGAGGCACTGGTGAGCGTGTAGGCCTCGCCATGGGAGGAGGTTGTATCTAATTTTCACTGTCTCTACTACTATCATCGGTCAATTGTGTGTAGTCCTTATCATTGTCAGAGTCATCAAAATCCCTTTCCTCACCATCAGAAAATAATTCATTAGTTATTTGCTCTTGAGTAAGTGATTGCATGGTGTGTGCATGGTGTGTATAGGGGGCCTCCCCTTTTCCCTGCTGGCCATTCAAATCTTGCGCGGTACTCCATCATGTCATATGACGTAATGTGCAATTTTGCATTAGTTTTGCACAGTTTAACCAGTTAACTGTGCCAGCCGAGTTTTCTCGGTAGATGGGAAACTGCACCAACCGAGAAAACTCTTTGATTTTTCCGTACCCATTCTAAATGTTTGCGAGGGATGTTGTGTACGAAATGGACTCTTAGGACCTCCAGTGAGAGGCAGCCATCGTAGAAAAAATTCCCAGAATGCCCTAGGGCTGCTGGCTGGGTTAGTACTGAATGAGCAACCATGGGTGGCGCACGCGCCTCTGTCTCCCAAACTCCTGTCCGACACGGTGTTGAAAGATAACGCTCTGTCAGTGAAATTCAAACCTTATTGTTTGAAGAACATAAGGGTCATATTATTGGTGAAGCTAGGCGCAATAAGGACCTAACACAAAGGTCGGATGCAAGTGATACAGCACCTATGAGGACGATAGAGTGAGTGTATTCAGTTGTAGCTCTGAGCATCACCCTTGCAATCCTATGCTATCTCTAATTTATTTAGATGATACATAGATGAATTGTTTTCTGCATTCAGTGATGATGCATTTGATACAAATAGCATAGATGAACAGTGTTAGCGGCTTCCATGGTAGTGTTTTCCATAGATATTTTTAAGAATACCTGAATCTCTTCCTGACTCTTTGAGGCAAGCTGAATCTCTTCCTTTGTGGGACCATACAAAGTGATCTTTTCAAGACTACCATTCAAATTTTCCTATAATCTTTTCAATACTACCTTATGCTTTACAAGCTTGGCTACATACATCCTACAATTACTAAAGCCAAGGGTGTACGTGAGTACGTTATTTGCAAACACACAGAATGAAGAAACAGAAGCGAAAATTTATCTGTACTTGCTGCAATGAGAGCGAAGTCACGCCGTGCACTGTGGACTACTTCATTGATTATTACTCACTTCCGAAGTTCTGAGTGTGTAATAGTGTGTGTTACTGTGTAAATAGTGTGTGAAACTGTACATATTGTAATTTTTGTGAATTTTTAACAAGTAGTATTGCAGCAATAAACATTTATTTTGGACACATTACTGACCCATGTGCCACAGTTTCCATGGAACATTACGAATGTTCTACTGTATATAAAACTGCATTGGAAATACATAGAACAAATAATTGAAATATATTTGTGGCAACACCCGGTGCTTGAATGGCCCGCGGGACCGTGTCTGGGCGATTCATGCATGGGCGACCAGGCTCTGATGTCGTCACAGCGCACCTTGTTCACGTCCCCACAGCCAAAGTAAGTGGAGTTTGGTATTTATTTTTACATAGACATTTTAAGGGAAGGGAATTTATCATTTTACGAAGAAAAAAGAATTTTTAGGGAACGCTTTATTTCATGCGCACAGGGGGAATTTAACAATAAACTAGGCGCAGCACGCTGGTTAAGGGTTAAAGAAATGTCTGAGTTCCCCATAATGACCTCTCCTGAAATCAGGCTTTTCAACCTCATTTTCTTCGAGATTATAATACATTGCATACTTTGTTCCAAAAAAGACAGTCACTTTTACCCAAGAGAGGGAGGTACTGAATGTCAAATATCTCTTCCTCTTTCTTGGTAAATATCAAATCCAGCTTGGAAGGAACATCCCCTTCCCTCACCCTTGTAGCTTGTTTAACATGTTGAAACATGAATGTTTCGAGGATGAGGTTTACGAATCTACAAGTCCAAAAATCCTCTGTTCTAGCTTCATATGCCTCCCAGTCTATGGCTTTCAAGTTCAAATTGCCGACTACCAACAGTCGTGATCTATCTTTATCAGCTCTCGCTATAATCTCTGTCATTATTGTTATAAGCCCCTCGTTTATTATCCAGCTCCTCCTTTGACCATGTATTGCATGGCGGTGGGCTATATGCATGTATGATTGTTAGTTTATCATCCTGATTGCAGATCTCTAGTGCTATTATGTCAACTGTTTGCGGATTGTTACCCCCCCCCCCATAGTCCGTGCTACATGGACATTTTATTTTTGAGTAGCTAAATCTAAAACAACATCATGGATTGGTAATCATTATTTCGTTTACCTTTAGGTGTTCTTTCACCAGCACACAAGGCCACCGCTTTTCCTAATTTTTGTCCCCTCTCTAGACTGAGTAGCCCCTTGGGAATATGACCTCATTTAAAATATCATCTTCAAGTTTTCTCTCTGTGAATGCAACAATGTCTGGTGTCTGCAGCTGTATTACATCCTGATTGATGAACTGATCACTTAACTCCAGTATCTTTGATCTCACTCCATCTATGTTGGTTTATACAATTTTCAGGAACATATTTTGCCTCTCCTTATTCTTCACTACCCCTTTCTCTAGTGATTTGGTTAGTTTGCCTTTTTGTACCATTTTACTGGCCTGCCTACCCCTATCACTTTGTAGAAAAAGAATTGATTTCTTCTTCATCCCTGCTCTCGTTTAGATGTTTTGCCTCGACGAGGTTCAGTTTTAGCTTTTCTCTGTCTTCTTTTGAAAGCTCTCGTCCTAATGACCATACTTTCCCTTCCTCATCACTTTGTAATTTTCTAGCATTCCTTAGTACTTCTTCCATCTGTTGGCACCGTTTAGGGTGATCCTCAAAGGACGATCTTTCCCTTTTACGTACTTTCCAATCCTCCTGTAGTCGCAGACATTCTTTATGGTAGTAAGATCTTCCACGAGGCCAACAATTTTATCCTACTTCTTTCTCTCCTACAGCTCTTTCTGATCTAGATGTTATCTCCTTTTCTTTGCAACCAAAAATTATCAGGGACTTCGATCAACTGTGTTTTGCACCATCTTCTGGTTAGATGCCAACTCTTTTCTGACTTCCAGCCTAATGTTTGTTTTATCTTAGTTGGTGCAGTGTTTGGCTTCCTTTACTGCTTCTTCTATTCTTTCCTTCTCCTTGGTCACTTGTACATAGGTGAGTTGCATATCTTTCTTGCACTGTTCTATTCCCTGTGTAACTTCCTCCATCTGTGCTGACAAAAGCTGTTTTTCCTGTTGAATTTCCTTACCTAACCTTTAAGGTAAACTTTTTAAGGAACTTTCAAATCCAGGGATCCCATCACAATGGTTGTACTCTTCAAGTCACTTGTGTTGTCCCGTCTTGAGTACTGTTCAGTACTCACTTCCCCCTTCAGAGCAGGAGAGATTGCTGAAATAGAGGGAATACAGAGAACATATACGGCACGCATAGATGCAATAAAGCACCTAAATTATTGGGATCGTCTCAAAGCCCTCCAAATGTACTCACTAGAAAGAAGACGAGAGAGATATCAAATAATATACACCTGGAAGATACTGGAGGGCCAAGTACCAAATCTACACAGTAAAATAACAACGTACTGGAGTAAACGATATGGAAGAAAATGTAGAATAGAACCAGTGAAGAGCAGAGGTGCCATAGGCACAATCAGAGAACACTGTATAAACATCAGAGGTCCGCGGCTGTTCAACGTCCTCCCAGCAAGCATAAGAAATATTGCCGGAACAACCGTGGACATTTTCAAGAGGAAACTAGATTTATTCCTCCAAGGAGTGCCGGACCAACCGGGCTGTGGTGGGTATGTGGGCCTGCAGGCCGCTCCAAGCAGCAGCCTAGTGGACCAAACTCTCACAAGTCAAGCCTGGTCTCGGGCCGGGCTTGGGGAGTAGAAGAACTCCCAGAACCCCATCAACCAGGTATCAACCAGGTATCAACCTATCATGGTCATTTAAGTTTAAATTTGCTTTAACTTCATCCAAAGCTATTTTTAAGAGTTTATTTTCCTCTCCCATGGCTTTACAATTTATTTCCAATTGATTTTTGTCCTTGCATAAGTCTTAAACTATCCCCTCAAAAACTTTGCTACTCAAGTGATCATTAGCTTCTTTAATTTTGCTGATTATTTCTACATGATAGTTCACTATAATATTTTATTTTGCCAATTTGTTGCGTAGACTGCTTATATCAATGCTTTCTTCAATAAAAATCCCAAACTCTAGCTCTGTTTTGTTTTCCTTCTTGTCGGCGGTCATCTTGAATGTTGTTGTCTGCATTGTGAACACTTGGGTAACTTTTTCTCATCCAATTTTTCACTTCACTTTGCACATTTGTGTTATCTCACCTATTTTTCCAAAGCACAACACCTTTATGTTCTCTGGGACACCACTCACTATCATCAACCTGTACTACAATACTTAGGAATTGTGAAATATCCTGGAGCTCCTCTGATGCAGGTGTTGACACTAGGGGCATCACTTTTTTTCCTTCAATGCAGCAAATTAAATGTTATTTAAATTTTCATGATTTTTCTGCAGTTTGTTACTATTGACAACTCTGATAAATGCATTGCTTTTATCTCCTGTTTAATCAAAAAATAGTTTCCCCAGGCTCATATCTTCATATTCTTTACATTCACAGGGCACAGCAGATATTATCTTGGATTCATGCACAGACTACTGGGATGGCTATGACATTTGTCCATTGACAGAGAAAGACAGGTAAGACATAAGGGTTTTGTTCTAACAACCTGCTGATTACTGCTGTCACTAAGATAACTTCCCATTACCAAGTCACATCAGTCATAGATGTCCTGTTGTCCTACTGGAGACCAGAGCCTTAACCTGGCCCCGTCATAGAGGCTCAGAGAGCAGCGGGATTGTTACAATTGCCCACACTGGGAAAGCAACTAGAAAGTAGGTGAAGCAATAAAGAAACTGCATGGTTTATGAATTTGAAGCACCAAAACTGCCAACAGACACTGCAAAGATTCACTAGCAACGAAATGGATTACTTGAAACCAGGTATAAAACACCCTCTAGTGCACAAAATTGCCAACAGGTGGCATCCTGGAGCTCCCGGCATCAAAGCCAGCGACAACTCAGTCCTGATGCTGATGCCAGATATTCCATATTTGATCTTCCCTAGTCAGCTTATTATAACAAGTCCCATTCCTTCACCAAAATAAGTGCTGGCAATCTTTTGGACTATCCTCTGGGGCCATTTTGCTAGTGTATCATTTCTAGTTTTTTATATTTGCTTCATATGCATGTTTTCAAGCCTTGCTGCTTGAGTGGACTTAGCTTAATCTGTGTTTTGAGCTCGATATGTTTAGAGCTTTCTCCCTTAGATGCTCGTTTAGTGTTGGCTCTGTACTGTCAGAGTACCTTCTCTGGTGTACTTACATGTCAGTACTTACCTATCAGTGACCATGAGGAAGTGAGGTCAAGTTCTTTATGCCCCACCCCGCCTGCTAGCCTTTTCGTATCCATTATGTTAAAGCTTCATTATTCTAATAATCAATATCTTTGTCAAACTTTTCCTTAAAGCTGTGAATGGAGGTAGCTTCCACAACTTCTTCTCTTAGTGCATTCCACTTGTTGACCACACGTACAGGGTACGAGTATTTCCTGACACTCATTCGATTCATTTGCAATTTCAGCTATCACTTGAGTCTTCTTGTCCTACTTTCTCTCAACTTAAAGAGGCTATCCTTGTCCATTTCCCTCAGTATCTTGTACGTTGTTATCATTTCTCCTCTATTTCTTCTGTCCTCCAAGGTTGTGAGATCCAGTTCCTTTACCATATCCTCATAAATTAAGCTCTGTTGTCACAAATCATCCCCTTCAAGTTCTGGCACCAATCTAGTTGCAAACCTCTGCATTTTTTCAATTACAGTTTTCTGTGGGGGAGCCCCTTCAGCTCCCTGGAGCTATTGGGCTAATATGCGATATAATAGACTAGGGCATTAGTCATTGGAGTTCAGCCTACCGGGGAACCACGACTAGAACCTAGCCCCCTCAGAGAGGTACAGGAAGCAATGGCCCTTGGAAAACCCTCCTGTAATTGGGGGAATTCCTTATTTGCCACTGACCTGGGTTAGGCACCCAGAGCGGTAGGCATAACAAAACACCCCCCCCCCCACTTGGTAAGAAAATTGCAACTAAATACCGAACAAAGAGGCACAACCCCCAGTTCCCAAGAAACAAGGAAACGAGCAAATTTCACACACTGCTGTCATGCCTCTTGTCTGCGCAGCCCTCCCCTCCCTTCCCCGGTAAGGGGAGAGTGGAGCCCCGACCCTCCACGCCAGCTACTCAACCCCAGTTCGTTTGCTAATGCATTTCAGGTAACGAGCAAGCCACTTGCAGAAAATTTGTCTCGATTGACGAGCATCCTCTCGGTTAACGAGAAAACCATTAGTGCTTCCTAGTGTTCCCACTGGTTCTCCCAAATTCTCAGACGCCTCCAACGATGCAAATCAATAACATTTTGTTTAAAAGATGCTAATGATGCTGGGATGTAAAGGGGTGACTGCTGTAATGGTGCAAAGCATTGATTTATTTTTAGAAAAAATTAAAAAATAATTTTAAAAAAATTAAAAAAGAAGAAATGTTAAAAGGTTCGTTCAGTGTATGTTGGGTAGGCTGCTCCATTTTCTAAAAAAAAATAAAAAAAAAATTTGAAAAAAAAAAAAGTCAAAAGGTTTATTCAGTGTGTCAGGTAGGCTAGTCCATTTTCTACAAAAAAAAATAAAAAAATAATTAAAAAAAAAATATGAAAAAAGAAAAATGTCACAAAGGTTTGTTCAATGTATGTCAGGTAGGCTGCTCCATTTTCTATGAAAGGTAAAACAAATTGAATCCCATATTGATGTTTTTCGTTGGTGGAACGGATTAATTTTATTTCCATTATTTTAGATGGGAAAATTCGTTTCACATGACGAGCTCGGTGCCGGAACGGATTGAATTCGTTAACTGAGGCACCACTGTACATATCAGCCTGGATAGCTCCGGGGAGCCTCCAGGACTCACCCAGAAAATGGTGTTTCATTATATTCAACGCTGGTTTTTTTTAAGTCCTTGTATGTTAGGAAAGATGAATGAGGTTACTCTATTTGGGATAGTTTGACTGGGAGACTTTTTTTGGCAGGTCCATTATGCTTGGACATATTGAGATTGTTCTGACCAGTGTTGATTGTTGTAGGGCAGTTGCCTGTCATAGTTGTAGTTCCTTTTTGGTGTGTAATTATATCTGTGATTCTGGTATGCAAGTGGGTCTGGCATCCAGTTCCATCCATTCTCTATGTTCCCCCTTTTGAAATCTCTGTTGGAATGGTATAAAAAATTAAATGAGTTTCCTCCAAATTCATTATTTTGCTTGCCACTCTTTATGTAGCATTCTGTGCCTTTCACGTGAAAGTATGGGCAGCTGAGGTCATAGCATTTTCTGTCCTCGAGTCAGGTTTGGCACATATCAGGATGGCAAAACATGTTGACCAGACCACACACCAGAAGGTGAAGGGACGACGACGTTTCGGTCCGTCCTGGACCATTCTCAAGTCGATTGTGCGAATCTTACAATCAACTTGAGAATGGTCCAGGATGGACCGAAACGTCGTCGTCCCTTCACCTTCTAGTGTGTGGTCTGGTCAACATACTTTAGCCACATTATTGTGACTCATCGCCTGCGCATGGAAAAACATATATGTTGATCCAAATCGACACTTTCCTTTCCTAAGCATATTTAAACATTTTTTGGGATGGTGGTATCTGCATTCTAATCCTTTCTTATTACCAGCATTTCTATGTTTGCATATGCCCTTTACATAAAATTTGCATATGTCTGTCCTTCTGTTCTGACTCGCTCTATAGCTTTGACCATTGTAGTGTCTGTACCTATCGAGCTGTCAGTGCTGTCTGTTACACTTTCTCACCTACTGTCGTCTGCATCTAGACATACTGAATCAGAGTTTACAATTAACTGAATTTCTGTTTCAGTTTCCTCCCTGACAGTTTCAGTTTGGCGGTTCATATTTTGGGGAAAATTAGAATAAAAGACCTGCCCAAAACGCTAAGTGTGCTAGTGGCTTTACAAGAATATAATAACTGTTGTATACATAAATAATAAATACACAAATACAATAATGAATAATAACATGGGGGGAAGGAGGAACCTACTAGCAGGAAGGCTGGTTTGACAAAGTTTTAGTTTTTTGTTTTCTTTATGGGGAAGTTTTATTGATGTTTTGAGGGCATAGGTCACATTTTTCATCCAGGCAGTAGTCTGTTTTGATTCACCTACCTTTCTGGGTGCTTCCCTGGTTGATGGCAACATGATAAACTTTAAATGCAAACTGTTCATGAGCCATTACATCCTGCGCGTCTGTGAGAGGGGCCGGGTACTGACTCGTGGTCCCCGGTAGGAAACAAGAACTCTGCAACTGATGACTCCAAGTAGTATGGCACTCATCCAGTAAGCTAGCTTCAGGAAGCCTCTGGGGGCTCACCTAGAAACTGGCATCTCATTCATTCAAGGCTGGTTTTTTACATGCCTCATTGAGTTGTCACATTAAACAGTCACTCAGCCACTAAATCTGTTTAGGATAATTAGGTTATTTTGTGTGTTTCATATTCCCTAATTAGATCTACTTTGCAGGTAACTCAATAGTTAGAGGCTCATGGTATTGGGGGTGCTATATTAAGTTGGGTTAGGGCATGGCAATACCAAAGGAAACAGAAAGTTAGTGTAAATGGGGTTAAGTCAGAGTTGGAAAATGTGAGTGGAGTGCCTCAAGGCTCTGTCCTGGGACCTCTGTTATTCATAATATATATAAAGGATTTAGATTCTAGTTTGAGCAGCAATATTTGCAAATTTGCCGATGATATAAAAATTGGGAGAGAAATAAACATGGAAAAAGATTCACCATCATTTCTTTTTGACGATCCAAATATGGTTACAAAATAGTCAAAAGATTGGCAGATGCAGTTTAATGGTAACACATGTAAGATTTTGAGGCTAGGTAATGATGATAGAGTTAACACTTTCGCCCGGGCATGACGCAGCATTGCATCATCCGTTTACTGTCGGTAATGCCGGGGATGACGCAGCATTGCGTCATCCACTTTAAATAATCGCCAAAAATCAGGTTTTTATCCGATTTTTTTGAGACTGGTTTTAAAATGCGCGCTGATGTCTTCCCATTTTCTTTGTTGAGCCTCGTGGCCCTCAGGCGGCTTGGCACACGCCGTGGGCCCATTGTTTTCGCTCCACTGTTGTGACCAATGTCGCCTCCCCCTTGCATCTCAAACGTGTGAACATTTCGGCTATTTTCCGTGGCTATATTTCTTACTGCGGCTTTAGAAGCTATCTACGCTTCCTCCACGATGGATAGTGATCGTGAACAAGGCCCTTCCAGGAAGAAAATTGCGAAAGAAAGACTTGAAAAGGGCGGGAATTGGGAGTGTAGCTGGAAGGCGTTTGAGCGCTCGCTTGCGGCTAACGCACGGCCCGTCTTCAATTCGTCGGCGGTTGGAGCGTGACCAGGTTTTTTATTTTATATGCTAATGTTCCTCTAGAGAATTCTATTGCGAACCCATTGATTCCAAAATGAAAGACCTAGAACGAAAATTGAGGTGACCAGAGAAAATAGTGAAAGCATTTTATCGTGTTTGCGCGCTCCTGGGTAACTCGTTCGCACTTTCTCTGTTTGCTGCAGGTAATTAGCCGGGCTTTTGGAGTTTATATGCATTTAGTGCTGTAGAGAATTCTATTGCGAACACAATGATACAAAATTTAATCTCGTAGGACGAGAATTAAGGTGACAAAATTGAAGAGAGTATACACTTTTCAGAATTTACGCGCGTTCCCGTGACACCCTGGGTCCCATATCGCACAGTTGAGGGGTGGCGCGCAGGGTACGCCAAAGTGTTAAAAAGACACGCACTAGATGGTGTTGAGATTGTGAGAGAGATCTGGAAGTTCTTTTAATATTTTTAATATTTTAAAAACTTAAAAAAAAATTTTAAAAAAAATTTTTAATATTTGTAATATTTTAAAACCAAAAAATCAATGCATAAATGTTCGTCGTAAGGCAAATAGAACACTGGGATTTATTAATTGAAGCGTTAGTAACAAGACACCTGGTGTTTTTCTTCAGCTATATCTTGCTCTGGTTAGGCCCCATTTAGATTATGCAGTTCAGTTTTGGTCGCCATACTATAGAATAGATATTAATTTACTAGAACGCATCCAGCATAGGATGACAAAATTTATTCCGCAAATTAGAAACCTGTCAAATAAAGAAAGATTAACAAAGCTTAAATTACATTCTCTAGAAAGGCACAGAATTAGGGGTGACATGATAGAGGTATACAAGTGGATGAATGTACATAACAAAAGGGGATAGTAATAGAGTATTCAATATATCAACATAACACAGAACTCAAAACAATGGGTATAAACTGGAGAAGCTTAGATTTAGGAAAGATCTGGGTAAATACTGGTTCGGTAACAGGATTGTTGATTTGTGGAACGAATTACCACAACATAATAGAAGTAGGATCTCTTGATTGTTTCAAGTGTAGGTTAGATATATATATATATGAATGAGATTGGTGGATATAAATAGAAGCTGCCTTGTATGGGCCAATAGGCCTGCTGCAGTTAATTTCAATCTTATGTTCTTATGTTCCTAGCTAAAAATTCAGTCAATGTCCTCGCAAATATCTTAAAGTAAATACCAATAAATCTTTATTTATGTTAATATTTGTAAAAATATATAAATAAATATGAACTGTAGTCTAATTTGAATTATTAACCTAACTTTTCTTGTGGCAGATATTAATCTCCGTTTTAAAGGGCCGAGAAGGACAAGTTCTTCCTATAAGGGTCATCTCATTAAACACATTATGGTTCTATAGATTATTGGCGTTTGGTATGTCAAAGTGTAGAGTCTAGTACCCTGGTGGAGAAGTCGTGCTTCTCATCAAGGCTTAAATCTTTGTCCCATCAGGATGCTATATTTTGTGTACACGGTAAGAATGAGAATATGCTTTCTGTACTTATCTTCTCTATGAGAACGTACGAAGCCCCTTTTCTCGTAAGCTTCATACATATTCCATCAGAATGGGTGAGAAAGCCTTGCACCTGTACAGCAGAAAGAGGCATTTCTTTATATTCATTACTATCTTTTTCACTTTACTCTTGTATGCAATCCTCATTTAAACTTAGAAAATAATTTATCTATGTTCTAGAAAGAAAATATTGGACTTCTACCACCGGACAAGCCTTTCTGCTTACTGTACTGCATTTTCATATCGTCCCACTTCCTGCGTGGTTAGAGGAAATCTAACTAATATCTACATGGAACTTCCAATTGATCCTACCCATCTTTATAATGCAGCTCGCACACCCACACCACATATCAGCACAGGTTGGTTAACTTTGCATAACTGTCAATTAAAAATTTTACTGGTGCTGTAATAATGCTTAAAATTATAATGAAACTATGACAGAAATGCTTAGCATGCAGTGTGAACTTTTTTGGGGAGGGCTCTGCAATGGCTTCTTACTGATAGCTGTCTGATTAGTTCTGCTATAGGCCCTTTCTCAAATCACTAAAAGCCTACCAGGAACTAGAGGCCAAAATCTGACCTCCTCATAGAGGCAAAGAGAGCAATGGCTGCATAATCATCCTAACTGAGAAATAAGTTATAAATAAGAAATAACATTTGACTTTGTATCCACAGATGTCAGTAACGTCTGAAAGCTCGAGTTCCTCACTGTTTTTGTGGTCCACTACGATTAAGTTCCTTTGTTTGTTAGGTCTAATATCATGCATTTTGATCTTAAATATATTGGGAATGGCATTATATTGGATACTTTGTGCCTTACTATTTCTGAAAACAATCCTATCTTTGTCATCAAAGGCAATGATGAAAAATGGCAAACCAGAACTCGTCCTACCTTGGTTGAGCAGTGGATATTGATACTCAGGCTGCATGGGGCCGGGGTGGTCTCTGTTTGCCTCTGTATGGTGGCGACGTTTTGCCTCTAATCTATTTGCCTTACTGTGATGTTTACTGTCCTAGAAACCTCCATCTGGATCCTCCTCTAAGACCAGGTGACCATCTTGATCTTAATGTGTGCCATGTAACACTGGTTTCTCAAAACCCTCGATGGTATTGTGGATGTTTGTACGAGAGACGCTGTGCACACCTCCAGCCGTCATCATGTTGGTCGGTTTATGGGAATGACATTTTAAAAGATGCGCAGTGCAGGTGTTAAGGATATTCATATTGTCCAAGAAGTTGATTGTTTTGGTGTTCTTCCCCTTTCTTCTGGTCTTTGCTTCAGTTCTGAAGTGATCTTATATTTCCAAACTTTCCTAAGCCTCAATTGATGGAGCAAGATTTTGGTCATTGTCTCCTGAGGCATTTGTGATTTGTTAAGAGCCTGGTGTGGCACCTAAGGTTTGGGGGATTTCAGGTAGATAACTCAGGGAGCCACCTTGGAACCCACCAGTAACAAGCATTTAATTATATATGTACTGAATTAGTGTGCATCTGTAATTGTGATGCCCTTTTTCAGAGGCACTGTTCGGTGATGAGGAACACACTGAATATGAAGAAATTGATGATATTGATGATGCTTTTAGAATGCAGTGCAAGCAAATCTTCATAGGAATGGTTACAATGCAGTATCAAGCCAAGACAGATATGGTAAGTACTCTATATCTATTGTGGGACATTTGGGGCTTGAATCTGATTATTTAAATATTAATGTAGTAAATTAAATTACGAAGGACCACCCGCTTTTATAGTAAAGAGGGAAACTGAGAATTTCTGATCATTAGATAATTCCTAGATGAACCAGTAACTATGGATAAAATACTAGAGAATATGATCATAGAAATAATTAATGGGCTGTATAATTAAATGAATCAAACCCTCAAACACCTACATTGGGGGGTTATTACTGGAGGTAAGTACGTCCAGGAACTAGTGTGGTTCGTTCACTAATCCAAATAATAATAATCTAATCCCATGAATTATAGTGAAACTAATGTCATTACCATGAATGGGAACATAGATTATAAGTATAGTAATGAGAGTCACAATAAACACATGTTAATCCTAAGAAATTCTGCATGTAAGTAATTTCAAGAAGTTCATGAATGAATACAAAGAATCTTAGCTTAAAGACGATTCCTTTATGTAAGCCACGACGCTTCCTCTAATTCCCTGGACTCGGCTGGCTGACGAATGGGATGGATTAACATGGGAGAAGGCGGCAGGGAGAGTTCTTCTCACGTGCTGCAAGACAAATATTTACAGTAGCAACTAATTAAACTACTGAATCTCTATATTCAAGAATTTAAGAATTACAGGTGATAAAATTAATAACCTGTTGTTTGATGTTGGCATACGTCGTAACGGTCAATCACCCAGCTACTACAAAACACTTTACAAGATGCATCAAATAAAGAGAATATACTTAGCTAATATGGGCACTGTATAAGTTTTAAGATTGCCAAAATTCGCGTCCCCAGGCTCTGGCTTAGCCTATCCTGGATAGTGGCGCGCTTCACTGGCCGGTCACGTGTAGTCAAGAACCAGGTTAAAAAGGTTCCTTATATGACACCAGCACCAGTTGAAGATATTATCTGCAAGGTTATTCACGCCTCACAGTGGCGACTTTCATCTGAGGATGGATAACGTCTACCCTGATGGCTGGGCAATGGCGTCTCCTCGTGAGTACGGTACGAGTAGGTCTGCCTCAGAGCTGCTCTCCACGTGTACTGGCAAGCCTCTCCAACCCACGCCGCGTCTCGCGTTCATTAGACAAATTATTGTTATGAATATTAGTATTTCTCGCATCTACGCTTGAAATGTTGAAGACTGGACGGGTTTATTATTTAGAAGAGGATAATATTATTATTTGCCAATTTAGGGATAGTAAACATATAAGGGAGAGGAATTAATGTCTCCCCATGGCATTCACTCGTGACGTTAACTTTTATTACTAGATAATCGCTATGACTCCAACGCTCTATTCGGCTTTTAGTTGGAGGTCAATTCATCTGTAATTAATTATCATACAGAATGCCTTGGTTATAGAGAATCGAATTTAATTCTCAGATACATTGGATATAATGTGTTTATTGTAAGGAAATCTGACGCAATACTGGCGTCGAGTGACGTGAGAATTCTAGCCTACTGCACAGATGAAATTATTAGTACATGAGAATTCTACGTGGTGTTAATTTTACTTACTACAATAATTAGTAGAGTTAGTAATGAGTAATGAGAATACAACAGTGTTGTATTCGGTGTTGGAAATTCCCAACATAACTCCGGGGGGAGGATTCTATTGTCGTAGTGTACTGTGGAGTACTGACCTATCCCAAAGTGATATTAAGATTAGTACATTAGTATGTTAATATGTTAGTATGTTAGTACACACATAACGAACGTCCCGGATATATCAAGGACTTACAAGAACTTGAGTCTTGCTATTTACATGTCAAATGAAACATGTTACTTATAGCCTACACAATAATTAAAGAATTGCTCTTAGTTGAGAACTAAAATAGGCTTGTAGTTTCCCTTAGTGGAAACATGTATTAAATATTGAAACATTAAATGATTAAGTTATCGGTAATCAGGAACTCTCTAAAGCTCACAATAAACTCAACAACTAGGGTCGCAGTGACATGTAATGGTGTATTACGTAGCTGCTGAATCATAGGTAAACTCAGAATAAGTTCCTAAGAACTGATAACACTATTGTATAATTATACAGTAAAATATTATTAGTCATTTAAGATCAAGGAGACTATGACACTACAGTAAGGTCACTGTCTAGGGTCGCTGTGACTTGTAACTATTGGGTTACTAGACAATAACATCACGCAGCATCACGATCACCCCAAATTCAAATGAGGAAATTGAATTTAATGTGCACTGCCGTGCAGTAGTCATGCTGACTGATGGTACAACTAATTTGCTAACTAGCTAAAATAATAGAAAAGTAGAGAACTGAAAAGTTTATTCATTAAAATCAAGGAAAATTCTGAGTCGACAGTGAGATTAGTAGCCTAGTCATTCTGACTTATGAGCTTATGAAACAAGCACTCATATTATTACATTAATTCTAAGGTGAGCTATATTAAGCTCATGAAGCATGTTAATTAACAATGCTGATGTTTAACGATAATGCAATAAACATATTATTTCTCTGTAAATTCGCTTACGTATTAGTAAGTTTGCAAGTTTGTTCGTGTTGCGCTCCTACACTAAATAAGCAGAAATGAAAGAAAAACAACTCAAACAAATTAATGCAAGTATTTATCACTAACTCTTAGTGCAGAAAACATGGTGTTAAGAAGGTTTTCTTGGCAAACCTTTAAGCGCAAGTATAGTGGACCAGTGGTCCTAGTGAATTTGTGATTACTGAAGTTGCTTGATGACTTCAAAGAATTACTAAATTCAGGAAATGCCAGTGGCATTGAGTGCTAGATTCTCTAGCCTAACATTATTAATTACCTAGGGAGTACTAGATTCTCTAGCCCAACATTACAATTTACCTAGGAAGACTGAGTGTGGTCAATTACTACTTGTCGAGAATAATTCTAGGTCTGCAGTGAATTTAATGGTTTGGTCGCTGTGACTTGTACTTGTTTGAGTACGGACCATTGGTTTTCACTGAGAGCTATGAAACATCTCGGCGAGTATCAATTGCACTACATTCAATCTGAGTTTATTACTCAGCTGTGTTTCTCCTTTTAGCTTGCTGCTGGAGAATTGATTTACTGCTGACTAATTTATTATTGTTGGCAGGCTTAGGCTTGTTCACATTCAGAACTTTACCAGTAAGTAAGTAGCCACCTGCAGATTGGAGCATATTCATTCCCAATCATACATTGATAGTACAATGTACTATCAATAAACTATATGTGTTGATGTACCCAACTTTTTGATGGGGAACATTAAACCATTTGGGAAGGCATCGGATGAGGGAGTGGGGAATGGTAGGGATGATAATAGAAATAGAAAAAATAATAATAGATAATAGAAAAAGAGGCGATATTATCACTACGTACAAAATAGTAACAGGAATCAATCAAATTGATAGGGAAGAATTCCTGAGACCCGGAACTTCAAGAACAAGAGGTCATAGATTTAAACTAACGAAACAAAGCTGCCGGAGAAATAAAAGAAAATTCACTTTTGTAAACAGAGTGGTAGACAGTTGGAACAAATTAGGTGAAAAGGTGGTGGAGGCCAAAACCGTCAGTAATTTCAATGCATTATATGAGAGTGCTGGGAAGACGGGACACCACGAGTGTAGCTCTCATCCTGTAACTACACTTACGTAATTACATATATTTACAGTACGTACTATACATACGTGCATACACATAAAGTTTCTTTATAATTATGACATCCAGTATTTTTTCTTGGTGAAATATTGATAAATATTCATTATGTAATTCATTTCTTTCGTAGGTTCAAATGATTGAGCAGTTAGATGCATCGTGTATTCGATTTGTTCACTTCAGTAAAGAAAACGAGCTTAGGTCACGAGTGTTCTCAGAAAAAATGGGATTGGAGAGCGGGTGGAACTGCCACATATCTTTGCTGTCAGATCGTACTAGGTAAGTTATGTCTAGCATTTTGAATATTTTGTATACTCTATTTTGTGTATGTGTGTATTGAATCTCCAGGTATTGTAAAGTAGATATGATTAATGCTAAATTTCTCTTGCGCACTCACCTGCTTCGCAATACTACAGCGTAGGAGCACCCGAGCCCTGCTGAAAGTTTATGTCCTGTAAGTGATTACTGTATAATGGACCAGGATCTGAATCTGGCCCTCTCAAAGAGGTTATGGGCAGTGTTGTTATCACAGATCACTGCAGTACCAAGAAAATTCCCTTAAAGCAAATAATTGCTCCAAAACAAAGTGCTCTGAATTTTGTTAGCACTGAAGATAACAAGTCAAACAAATGTTACTGGAGGAACATCACAGCCAAGTTACACTGATCTGCCACCAGATCACAGTTTGGGCTATGTCATTCTCCAGCCTCATATGAACTAGGTGCAAGGGACACAGCTCTCCTCAGTCTTCTATCACCTATCCACTTTAAGATATGTGGTGTTGGTTGGAGTATCTCAAGTGTTACCTTAATGCAACTCGACTGAAGTAGCCATAGACAGCATGCACTTTGCACCAGGCCCAGACTCCTGGAATTCTATATTCATGATGAATTGGAAAAAGCACTATCATAGGCCTTAAACATCTTTTGGAGATGGAGCCTAGATACTGGTGTTATCTTTAACATACTTTAAACAATAGAGCTGGCATCACTTCATAAAGGAGGTAGTAAAACTGATGCACAAAATTATAAACAAATAGCTCTAACATCTCACAGCATAAAAATCTTTGAAAGGGTGCTAAGAAGTAATATCACAAAACACATAGAATCACAGTGTCTACATAACCCTGGGCAACATTAATTCAAAACAGGGTGCTCCTACCTCACAATTGCTAGACCACTATGACATAACCTTAGATGCCATAAAAGACAAACAAATCACTGATGTAATATATTCCAATTTTGCAAAAGCCATAAAAAAATGTGACCATGGTGATATTGCGCACATAATGCACACAAAAGGAATTACTGGCAAAGCAGGGGAGAAAGATTTTTAACTTTCTGACAAACAGAACCTAAAGTATAATGATCAATAAATTTTAATCTGAATCATCCACCGTGAAAAAATTGGCCCCCTCCAAGGTACCGTGCTTTCTCTGGTACTTTTCTTCATCCTCACATCAGACATAAACAAAGATACAAACTGTAGTACTGTATGATCCTTTGCAGATGACATTGGAATTTTCATGAGAGTAGACAATATAGAGGATACAGGAAACCTCCTATCAGATGTTAATCAAGTCTTTCAATGGGCCACAGAATTTATCATGATGTTTAACCACTGCATTGTGCAAAGCACCTTTAGGTGCTCGATTGAGGGTGCACAGAGTGCCATGTGGCAGTTTTAGGTATATGGAGCGATTCAAAACTCCCATGGGTACACAGGATTCACATCCTGCGTGTGCACAGGATTCACATCCTGTGCCTCAGGACTCCTGTAAACAGATGCCATCTTTGAAAAAAATCATCAGCATCCATGCTGGCTGTGAGATGCTTAGTACTGAGAGATCGACCAAGGCTGGTGCATGCAGGAGCTGTGCACAGCACCACTGTGCAGCTGGGGGCCACAGCACCACTTAGTAATGAGGAATAAAATAGGTAAATGAAATGATTTTCCGTTGATAGTGTTATAGATGATCCTGACTGTGATAAAGACTATGTACAATGTTCAAATGCCAGTGAAAACAATGTTAGTTATAATATTCACAGCATGAGGTAGAGAGACTCAGCACCCAGCCATTGTTACCTGCACCTCATGAAATGACCTTATTTTCCATCACCGATGTTCATTTTGTTAAGGAAATGGATTCATATTCGGGATAATAGCAGCAGTTTTGTAGCTAATCACATCGAGATAAGTAGAATATTGGAGGCATTGTATTGCATCATGTGACTGTTGGCATCATCTGCTTGTGGCCCCATGTTATGTTTTGATTTCATCTGATTTTGATTTAATTTTTAATTTCATCACCATATGCACCAGAACTACTTATTAGTATATTATGGTGCATATAAATGTTGATAGTGATATATAACATGCGTTTATAGTGTAATAAACACAGGAACAATGTTTGGTTAATCTAAGAATAAATAACACAAATTATACACTTTTGAATAATATTACAGCAAAAAAACAAAGAAGAAACGAATGAGAAATATCAGAATAATCGTGAAAAATTATATTCACGGCAATTGCCACCCCACGGGGTGGCAGAGCCTAGTGACCTTGAGCGCTCCATCACTCAGCACCCATAATATGCTCAGCTTCTCAGCTCCGTCATGGCTAAAGTATGTCACATGCAACAATATTTTCTGTGGGGAGCCCCTACGGCTCCCTGGAGCTTATCGGACTAATGTATTATGTTATATTAGACCGGGACATTAGCTAAGGAGTTCAGACCTACCAGGGACCAGCGCCAGAACCTGGCCCCTTCAGAGAGGTTTCAGGGAGCAATGGCACTGGAAAACCCTCTTGTGGTTTGGGTTTTCCTTATCTGCCATCGACCAGGGTCAGGCACGCAGAAAGGTAGGCATGACAAAACAAACCCCACATGGTAAAAAACTAAAACAAAAAAACGAACAGAGAGGTAGAAACTCCCTACAATCCCAAGCAAACAAGCAAACATCACACTTTACTGCCGCGCCAATCGTCCGCGTAGCCCTCTACACCCCAAGAGGGGGAGGGGGGAGCCCCGGACCTACCGCGCCGGCTGCTAAGCTTCAGTTTGTAAGCTAATGTCAACCGGGATAGACGCTTCTCTGGCCTCAGTTTCCTAGGCGGTGTTTGCCTTGTGTGGCGTTCACTGCCGTGTGTTGTGTTGTGTGGTGGCCAGGAGTACCTCATCAGTGCCGGGGCTGCATGTACTTAGTGGCTGACTTCCCTAAGTGCCCTGTGAGTATTGCCCTTGCATAACAGGGTTATCTTCCCTGGGGCATTCGGGAACCATTCCCGTAGAGGTTCTTGCTGCTCGGCATTTGTCTCGCCCTTGGGGCCAGCTGGGGCTTGGGGGCCCTTGTTTGGTCCTGGGTAGTGATTGATATTGTGCTGGTTAGGGCGTCAAGGTGTTGCACAGCCTGCCACCTAAGCGGTGACCGGTTCCTGTTGCCTCTGGGGACGGTGTACTTTTGCGGGGTTTTTCTTTTGTTTTTATTTTTAATTGCCTGGTGGGGGTCTGCCCTGTGTGGCTATAGTTCCACTGGTAGTGTTTGGTGGCCCTCTGCTAGGTTTATGTGATTGTACACGTCTCAGGGGTTTTCAGTGCCATCCCCAACTGGTTTAGCAACACCTTGCCCGGGTTTCCCGTAGCAGTCAGCCTGTGGGCCCTGGAAACCCCTGTCTGGGCTCGGGGGGACCATTGAATGTGTCTTCCGGGTTCCAACCCGTCTTGTACGGGACCATTGGTTGCTGTGCCCTTGTCTCCGGGTGACAGTCGCCACTTTTACCTCCGTCATGCTGCCTGTTGGGTCACTGACACCTTGACCCGGAGTCTTGCGAGAGATTTTCTCTGCTTGTTCTCCAGTACTCTCCTGATGTTATTACTGTTCAGAGTACTGGCGGCATCCATGTTGCAAGCTAGGTTAGGTTGCTGCAACATGCTAGGTTGGTTTCCCATTCGGGTGCCCCAAGGCCGCCCCGTTTTAGTTAGGTGCTGTTCGCCCCTTTCCCTCCCTGGTCCCGGCTCTGGACCGTCTGCGGGTTTCGGGGTCGGGGCGGGGTTTAGTTGGGGCCGAGACTCGGGCGGTTTTCAGGGGCTGCCCTGTTCGGGTTGGGGGACGGAGGTTTTTCGAGCCGGTTCCTCCTGCCAAGGCTTCTGGGTCTTACCAGCGGCCCTTTCTTGCTGCCTTTCCCATGGACTCTTGTTTTTCTTTAAGGGCGGAGGGCTTGGAGGACGGCTCTGCCCCGTGGCCTCTGTTGTTGGTTCCCAAGGCTGTGGGGGATGCCTGCTAGCAGTTCTAGGGCGGTTTGCCCCTGCCTGGGGTTTCTGCTTTTGGCCGGCGTTTTTCGCCCATCTAGTCTGCTTTCTTCCCACTTTTGCTGGCGTGTTTTTGTATATTTAGCGTCAGTCACAGCCCCTGCTGGCGGCCATTTTTGTCTGCTGGTCTCCCAGTGTGGCCAGCAGGGCGGCGTTGCGGTTTGTTTACATGTGACTGGGTGTGCGAGCAAGCTTCTTGGGTGAGTTTTCACCTTTTTTCAGGGGTTTTTATTCTCCTGTTGTCGTTTCTTTGCTTTTCTGGTGTTTTCTGCCCGTTGCCTGTTCCTCTGGGAACGTTTGGGTGTTGATTTTACACCGGGTTTTCCATTTTGTCTGTTTTGGGTCTTGGCCTTTGGGTTTGGGCTCAGTGTCCCCTGGCTGTTTTGCTTGCTCCCACACCTTGTCCCTCGGTTTTCTCTCTGTTGTGACCGTTTTCCCAGGGGGTTCTGTCTGGGGGCTGTGCTTTGCCTTTCTGTGGTGTTTCTCCGCCGGCAAAATGTGGTGGTTTGGCCTCCCCCTGGTTCGATTCCAGGTTCCTTTCGGTTCTTTGGTTTTGTTCCGGAGGTTTCTTCCTCTTGGGCCCCCTTTGTGGGATCTGGGGGCTTTGTTTCCTTGTGTGTGACCCGGTTTCTGCCTTCTGGAGTTCCGGGATCTTCCTGGCTTGCCGACTGATCTTTTTGGGTCTTGGCACGTGTTGTGGTCGAGCTGGGACTTTGAGGCTTTGTCGAGGTGGGCCTTTAGATGCAGTTTTGTGCCTTCTTTGCCTGGCCGGCAGCTTGTAATTTTCTTTTCAAGTGCATGTGTGTGTGTGTATGCATGTACATGTGTACACTGTGTGTTTGTGCACATGTGTACAGTGGTACCTCGGAATGCGATTGTCCCTGTATGCGAGATTTTCGGAAGGCGAGGTGTATTTACTCCAAAAATTTGTCTCAGAAGGCGAGGGTTACTTCGGGAGGCGAGTTTG